GTGTGGCGCTTTTTTTTGCCCCCTTTTTTTTCCCCCCCCTCCTCCCCTGTCCCTTTTTTGGGGAGAAAACGGCCCCTTTTCCCACTCCCCCTCCCTGCAGGGAGCTGTTGGCACAAGCTCCGCTGGGAGCGTTGTGAAACAGTAGCAGGACTCTGCGAGACGCTGCCTTGCCGCACCGAAGCCCCGCGGGAGAGGTGACCCCGCGTGCCCTGGGCGAGCTCCGCTCGGCAGCAGCTCCCGCGCGTCCAGGCTGGCCGCGGCTGCAGCAGGGGAGCAGCAGCGAGAGCTCGTGGCATCCAAGCGGTAGGAGCGGCTGCATCGCTTGAAGACAGATTTCTCTAGCAGGATCTGTTTAGTAGTGCATGTCTAAATATGTCCAAGAGCCCCGAACTTGGCTTGCGCTCGGCATGCCAAGCAAATGAAAGCATCAGAGCACCAGAAGGGATCCGAAGATTGTACTGAAGTGCCATTTGCTACAAAAAATCCAAACAAAGGGAAAAAAAAAACAAAAAACAAACCCACATATCCCTGCTTTTTAAAAAAAATCATCAATGCAAAACCGAACTGGAAAGGGAGGAAGTTGCTGGAGAGGCTGTTGCTTCCCAATCCTTTTGGGAGTTACGACCGAAGGGGGCTGTTGGCAGCCCCTCGTCGCCTCGCACGGAAAGCGGAGCAGCCCCTGCGAGCAGAGCCCGCCTGGCCGTTCCCCAGGGCCTCCGCTCACGAGCGGCAGTCGTGCCGCGGGCCGGGCAGGGCCAGCCTGGCTTCTGGGCTGGAAAGCAAAGACGATAAAACCCAGAAAAACAAAAAAGGATCATATCGTTGGCTGGGACTCGAGGTCCGTTTGAGGCGGTTAACAGACTTTTCTCCTGGCTAGTTGGTTGCTCTGATTTATGTATCACATCGAGTGTATTTAACGGACCGTGTCTGACAGGCAAGTGCTACGTCATGGACCCGATTGCTTTTAAATAGCTACAACCAGTGGCACTTTATAGAAAGGTTTGCAGAAACCTTTTAAAACTGATTTTTACTCGTCACAAGTCAACCTGGGACAAGCCCAGCTATTTTTTTTTCCAATGTTGATAAACTGTAAATGTTTTTTAAAGGCCAATGTATATATTTTAAATGTGATTTATTATATATATTTACTAACCAGAACTGCAAGTCTTGTACTCTAGGGTCAGGGATACGAGGACACTGGCGTGGAGCTGTCGCTGTCTGAGCCACCTGAGGGCAGCACCACGCTGCTCTCATTGTCAATAAGGGAATTAAACATTTGATTTTGCAGAAGAATGCCTATTTTTTAAGCTCTAGATCTCTATTTTGAAGCTACTGTATGGTGTGTAAGTTAATGTACACTGCAACTGGGACTAACTGACCCCAGCTGCACCTGCTCCGTGCAGCAAGACAGTGAGGGGAAAAAATAGCCCGTGTAATCACCAGCCTGACAACAGATTTTAAACCATCTGCTCTGTTTGTGTTAATCATGTGTTTTGTTTTCCACTAACATCCATTAAGAGTAAATTCTATTAAACAGTGGGGCATATTTTACCCTTTTGATAGTTTTGCCTACTTGTGTCCTTCGTGTCGAATCACACAAGCTTGTCTCCTACTCTGAAGTTCATCGAGGATCAGCATTATCCTGCGCCTTCAGTGCTTAAGATCTGGGTTTCCTCAGATAATCTCCCTGGTAAGAGTCCTGCTGTCACCTCCAGTGAAGTTAATGTTCAGTTTGAGTCTTATCACCATGGCAGTAACGTGGTGAGAGCGCTGGGGACCAACACCACCGCCCAGGGCCCCGCTGCCCAGCTGTCTGAAGCCTCAGCTCCCCCTGCCCGCCAGGCAAAGCGCCCCCCCGTCCTCCCTGGCGAGCGGAGAGCGGCCACAGCGACACCAGGTCCTGCTTTGCTCAGAACAAGAAGCCAAGGCCGCCTCGTCTCACCACACTGCTTTTCTCCAGGGCTCACAGTGCCTGTTCCAGCTCGCCCCGACCCTTCAGCCAGAGGGCTTCAAACCGCGCCACCAGCCACGACCAAAGCGGTGCCTGGGATCCAGGAGACCATGAGGTAAGCGGACGGTTATTCCGTAGGAAGAGGCATTCAGAGCTGGACAGATACACCCAAAGCTGAGCAGAAAGTGGGGAAAAGTGCCAGGATCGGGTCCCAGGAGCATCAAGCTCTCGGGCTGTGTCCCTGCGACAGGTGAGCCAGGTAACTCAGGCCCTGTGACATGAGCAGCCACACGCAGGTTTGCCTCCTCGCTTTGCTGGGTGAAAACTCCCTCCCACTCTCACTGGGTGTGTTATATCCAAGACAAGCATTTATTGCCGTTCGTACACTGGATGCGTGTGGGTCCGGGTTTGTTTTAGTTCCTTTTTTTTTATACAATTTACAAGTTTTAATACAAATCAAGTATTTTTACATACATCCCAAAAAAATTAATATAAAATATACACCATTTAAAAACATCTGGATGTAGGAAATTTCTTTCCGAAGCCCTGCACCCTGACCCTCGGATGCCTCAATGGCCAAGGGAAGGGTGGCATTGGTGAGACCATCCAAAAGGCTCCATGGGTACGCCTCGGCTCCCTCCAAGTCTAGCAGGGGAAGGAGGGTGCAGGAAAATAAACATTTGTGATCACCCGGAGAAGGAAACCTTGGAGGTGCCTCCTCTAGAGGAAGGTGTGGCCAGCAGGAAGCCCCGGTATCTGCTGCCTTTTATCACCTACCCCAGTTAGTGGCACAGGGCAAGAGCTAAGGTCTGGGAGGGGGGGGAAGGCTGCTCTGCAGGAACAGCAGGGAGCAGTTTGGTGCTGCCCCTGACTCCAGGTCAGCTCGGCCCCAGAGGAGACCGCGCCCCACCCTAGCCAACCCTGGCATCAGAAAGAAAAGCTGATTTCTCAGGTGCCAGGGGTAACACGTGGAGCTGGCATTTAGTGAATTAAGTGAGGCTTAGAACGCTGGAGCTTGTTCTCCCTGAGCCAGGCAGCTCTCCAGGCCCGAGAGGGGTGCAGGGCGAGTCCAGCCCAGCTGGCAAAGGTGAGCAGACCCACTCTGCAGGCAGGAGCGGCCCGTACTGCTGCGTTGCAGGAGAGCAGCCCTACATTTCCCCAGCGAGCTGCTGGCTCCCTGTCCCACGTAACCCTGCCAGCAGCCTGGACTCTAGACATCCACTCTCCAGCCGTAGAACAAGGTCCAAGCCTCTGAAGACCCCCAGCTGCTCCCCGTCCTCCAGCATCCCCCATCTGTCCCCAGAGCTCAGAGGCTGGCTGTACCCCTGCTCTGCGCTCCTGTCAGGCCCACAGCAGGGAGGAGGGTATTGCTTAGAGACATGCAGTAGTGTGCACGCTCTCTGGTTATGCTGAAAGGGAAGGAAGACAAGGTGGAGTGGCAGGGCAGAGCTTGGGGGTTCCCAGCCAGCCCCCCGCCTGCCAGCGAAGGACCAGCAGCCACTTGTTGGTCTCGGGTACCAAGTGGGAAGTAACAGCCGTGTATTGTAGTGTTAATATTGGGAGCAAGACCAGTGCCAGGATCTACCAGCTTTAGCCAGCTTTTAGAACTAGGGAGGGAAGCAACATCTCCATGAGCTGCAAATATTCCGGTAGCCAAGCCCGTGCGCTCCTGTGTGGCCCTCGACTGTCAGCCCCAAACGGCACCAGTGTTCCCAGTACAGCTGGGGTCTGTTCAGAGCTCAAGAGCATGTGTGCCGCATCGGGGCAAATCACAGTTTGCAGCAGCCCTCAGGGGAAGGTTTCCCCAAGTCAAACGAAGACCAGACCTCCAGGAAAACAGGGAACAGATGTGAGGGCAGCAGCATGGAGGGGAAACTTCCAACCACTAGCACAGAAAGACACGACGAGGGGGGTTTCCCTGTACCTTGGAGAGCAAGTACTGGATGCAGCACAATCCCAGGACTGGGAAAGAAGCCGTCCACCAGCTCCACGTTAGTCACAAGTGCAAGATACAGATATGCTCCCTGGAAGGATGTCCCCCTCCCTCCACGGCAGGATAGGAAGGTCTCGGGTTTTATCTCTAGCTATGGCCCTCTCAAGCAGACATTTTACTGAAGCAGAAAAGCAATTTGCATCACAAAAATGAGGACAGTTATAAACCTCTCTGGGGGTTGTTAAAGCAGATAAGAGCCGGTTCAACAGGGCTGGAGGAAGCTGAGCCTTGCTGACTCCCTGCAAGCAGGCAGAGCTGCCCTCCTGACTCCCCCTGCACCAGATCACTAGGGTCAAATGCAGACAGCTTTTCTTAAAGCCCTGTCTTATCCCTCTCCTCTTGAAGCACTCAACAGCCGGCATGTGGCTACAGCATCAACGCTAGAGGGCAGGCCTGGCACAGCCTGGCCATCGCGGGGGCTTTCCCAGCACCCTGCCACAGACCCTTCCCAGCGTTCCCTTGGAAATGTGAGCTCCAGTCCTCACCTGGCACCCAGCGCTCCTAGAGCTGCAAGAGAGATGTCTCCTTTGCTCCAGGAGCCAGGGGCAGGGAGGTGGGTGAGGGCATGCACAGGCACGCGTGCACACATCATCCAGGAGAGCAGGCAGAGATGGAAAACCAAAATGGGTTCCAATAGCGACCTCTTGCTTCAGTAGCCCTGTGTCTCCCCTGCTGGCCCTAGATTCTCCTGCCAGTTCCAGGAAACCCATCTGCTCACACAGAGGGAAGGAGTCACTTCATTTCAGCATCACCATGATACTAACAAAAACCTCTAGTAATAAATAAATAAAGGAAGAGCGCCCTGAACAGCCACCAGAGCTTGCAGGCTCCCTTGAGAGTACCCTAGCAGGCTGGGGAGGGGCTGCATACCTGCTGGGGGATCCTGATAGCAGTACCCTGCCTGGGGCCCCCTGGAAGGTGCTGATGTCGTTTTGCAAGGAGGCTGTCCGGTTTGCATGTGCGAGGGAAAGCTCCCTGAGCCTTTGGTGCAGCCACTCTCCCAGTGCAGGATGCAGCTGTGTGGCCCTGGCTCCAGGGAACTTGAGCTGGGAGTATTTAAAATGGCGAATTCATCCCCAGCTTTGTTTCAAACTGCAACTTCTGCCTCTTTTGGTAACGGACCCGGACCCTGGAGAGGGCAGAAGAAAGAAGAGAGTCAATGTGTGGTTAGGGGTGAAAGGCAAGCAAGGCTGTCCTACTGCAATTCCTGAGCTGCACAGCCCCAAGAAGCAAGGAAGCCCCTGGCCTGGGCCCTGTGGTACCTGGGAAGGGAATCTAATCCAGAGAGCAACCCATGGTCTCAGTCCTACCCCCCATCTCCAGGGCCACCACAGAGAAAGGTCCCGAAATCCTTCCCAGGGACAATGACAGTGGCTCTGGCCCCATCAGGGTTCCCTGTAATCCCCGCTGCTTTTCCTCACCAACCCATTTCCTGAATCAATGCTCGTTAGCGTTAACTCCCAGCTCTGGCTGCTCCCTGTGCTCCAGTCGCTTTGCCTGCTTCTAATTCTTGGCTTCAGCCACTTCCCGTGAAAACGAGTCCCACAGTCCAGGCACTGTGTGAAGACGTATTTCCTCTGCTGTGATTCAATGCCTCTCTGTCCTCATGGGACGAGATGGAGAGAACAGCCCTCTCCCATTCCATACTGGTATTTGATAGAGCTTGGCTGTCTCCCTCTCATTGGTTTGAGATAAGGAAATTTTGGTCTCCCTTCCTGATCCCAATCACTGCCACTGCCCTTCCATGACCCTCTTTCCTCCTAGAGAGGTGGGACATGAGCTTGCACACAATAGCCAGGTAATTTACACAATGCAATCATCTTTTCCTTTTTATTCCCCACCCTGTTCCCTCTGCTTCGTTTTTCTGCAGCTCAAGGGCAGGCTGGAGTGAGGCTCCAGCTCCTTCTCCCCATCTCCCCTACTACCCCCATACCTGATTTCATGCAGCTTGACAATCTCATTGATGATAACCACAAGGACCAAGGAAAGAAAACCCAGGAGCCATGAGACCGGGGAGATGGAAACGTGGTTAAAGGTCAATGAAGAATTGAGGTTTTTCCAGAGTTTCAGGTCCAGCACAGTCTGTGCCACTTGCCCCAGCAATCTAAGATCAGAAACAGACACAGCAAATTGTCAGCAGAGCTAACAATCTTCCCTGGATCTGCAGATCAGTGTTTGGGCCCACAGTTAACGTTCCCGAGTTCCCCACAAAGACCCTTCCCCAATTCAGCAGTGGAGAACAAGTGTCATGTACTATCATTTTCCTCAGCACCAGCAAACTGGTGCTGGAGCAGGTCTAGAGCCCTCCTTCCTCCAGCGTTCTGGAATGCCTCATCAGGGCCTGGGGATACTCACACAACAGCCACAGTGAGCGTCCACCACCGGTTGGAGAGGGGGCTCTTCTTCCACAACGGCTTGGTGCGATGGACGTGGGTGATGGATATGAACACTGTGGGGGCAGATGGAAGAGGGGGTTATGTAGCATCGCACTCAGACACACCACTTTACAATACACACCAACAGCTACTGCTCCAAAGGGATATGGGGTTCATGTCCCTGAAACCAACCTTTCATTCAAGCTCCTTTCAGACCAGACTCCCCACAGCAATCCCAAGTCCCCAAATACGTGGGGCAGGGGGGGGAGTGCAGCAGTAGTACTGCACAGGATTACTTGCTGTGGGGATGGCAAGGTTGGTTTGCAGCCTGGCATGCTAAAACAGATCAGGCAAAGGACCAGAATTAGGGAGCGGGGAGGGGGTGTGCCCTTGTCTCTGAGTCACTGCAGGCCTGCACCAGTGGAAAGCTCCAGCCCAGAGAAAAATATTTAGCCAGAGACCCAGAGCCGTTCTGTACAGGACAGAGCATTTGTTCAGCTTTTGCGTGGGCTCTTCAAAACAGCATTTCCCACCTGCCAGGCAGAGCATCCCTGCCTGGGGATAAAACAGTAACGCACGCTATCTGTCCCCAAAGCAGGGCTGGCTCTGAAATCTGGAAGCATTTCTGTTGGCCCAGACACCCTGCACACCTCAACATGCAACGCACCAAGGCCCAGCACCACAGGACATGGTGGGAAGGAAGCAGAGACCCTTTAAGGGTGGCAGAGAGCAGCTGGACCTACTTTGCCAGGCAACCATGTGCAGGCAATGAGGGTCAGCCAGACGCTGGCTTCCCGCCCCTCCGGAGGGTTTAAAAAAGGTTCGAGCTCCCAGGTAGCCATAGCTGCACCAGCAGTGTTTGGGGGAAGGAAGTGGGGTGCTTTGCAAAATGGCAGTGGGCATAGAAGGGCTTTTGAGGCAGGGAATGTTTTTGGAGAGCTGCAGGATGCTGCTAACTGAATTGCAAGAAGGCAAAGAGGGATGCCGCTCTTCTGGCGAGACTGGAAAGGAATCACTGCTTCATCAGGCTGGTAGGAAGCAAAATCAGCTCTGAAGATGCTGCCTTTAACCTGTTAGGGCAGTGTTTAGTAAGATAACGGGTCTGTGCTGAGAGGCCACTGCAGTGTCTGCTTCTACTAGGGAGTTTGTGCTCTGGCATAGGGGGCAAAGAAAGAGGCAAAAGAGGCAAGTTTTCCCCCAGAATGGGGAATGGGGGTGCCTGGGAACAGGGACTTACCTGTGTGTAAAACGATCAGGCCAGCTGAGAGCTTCTGGGCTACAAGAAGAGCATTGGAAAATGTCCCAAACCAGTCAGGAGCACCATCAGCATTGCTAGTAAGTGAGAGGAAAGAAGTCAATAGTTGGGATTTACTGTCTGACCTGCTCCCACCAGGACTATGTCCTTGTCTTATAGCTCAGAGAATTAAGTGTGAGCTTGGAGTCAGGCTTTCCTAGTACCAGGAGGCAACACTGAGCAAAGATGCAATTGTCAAGGCTACAAGGAGAGCACCCAGCCCTCTGTATAGCCATTATAGCTGGATCATACAAGAGTCTGAAGCTTGTTAGAACAGAATCAGTTCTACCTGGGCAAGGCAAGAGCAACAGGCCCTGCAGGGTGAGCGGGGTGTGTGCCAGGCTCGGTTCCTCACCTGTGCAGCATGATGGAGGAGCAGGCGGTGAGATTGAGGCTGGTAGTGTTCACCTCTTTGCAGGACTCGTGCAGTGTAAACCCGAAGCAGATGATGCAGGAGCAGATGGTCAGGCTGAATTTCAGCAAGAAGCAGAAGAGGAAGTAGTGCTGAGTCTGTGAAGGAGGGAGAGGCAGGAGGATGACACGGGCATGTCACCGGCCCAACCTCCCCCACGTGAACCATCAGGGAATCAGTGGCTGCAAAAGACAAGCTGTAGTACAGGTGAGATGCTGCACTGTGGATCTGCCCTGTGGGCATGCTGGCACTCAGGGATCCCCTTCCTGTCCGTGCCAGGCTTTTGGACAGCACGGCTCATGCCATGGATCAATTTACGAAGCGAGCTGGGAAGGCACAGGGTGTCTGCTATGCATCAACGCTGGGACAAAGTAGAAGAGAAAAATATGCGGACAACTTTAATCTGATGGGCCACCTACCTTCTTAGGAATGGAAGTCAAGTTTTTTCCTGTTGCCATGGTCATGATGGAGCTGTGGGGAGGCTTGCCCAGGAGGGAGATGCTGGAGAAAGGTAAGTTAGCCTCTCAGTAACAAGTTCAGGCACCAGAACTATTACTCTTTTTTTGTCTATGTCTAACATTTGAACCCAAATAACCTCCTCAGACTGCTTGGAGCATTGGCGCTCACCTGGCCACTGCCTTGAGCATATGCTTTAAAAGGTGTCATTTATGACAGGTGCAGACAGGGAGAGAGGTCACCTCCAAATGTGTGATGGGGGAAAACCCACCCATGCTACCTTGGCCTCTGCCTGACACCCTAGGCTCTCCATCACACTCCAGCCAGTGCAATAGTATTAGGATTAGAAGATGATTTTTGCAGGAAGTTCAAGCTGCAAGATAACAGCAGCTCCCAGAAAACAGGCAGGGCTAACACAGCAGTACACAAATGCCTCTATCTGTGTTTCCAAGCACCTTGTCAAAGCAGGAGCTTGGAAGAATCTTTGCAGCCTTCTTAGCATGCTGTGGGTGATGTCAGCTTTCTTTTAACACGGACCCAGTGAGGTGGGGGACTGGTCTGGGCAGGGAGGCAGGAAATTCCACCCTGTCTGACAGACTCACCTGAGCAGTGGGTAGCAGAAACAGGAGAGCCACACGATGTCTGTGGTACTGAGGATGGGGGGCAGCTGCACCAGGCAGGAGAGGAACTGGACAGGAACAATCCAGAGTGAAGAGTGTGAGCAGTGCTAGGACAGTCTTGTCACCCAAGATGCCACTGTCCTCCCTCAAAACACTGGGATGAGCTGGTAACTAGGGTGTCACTGCACAGCCCCTCCACATGTGCCAGGCTGCTGGGGCAGGTGCTGCAGGGGATGTTTTTCACCAGTGAAAAAGCCTTTTTAAAAGAAACTCCTGCAGGAGGGTCGGGGAGAAGGGGCAATGCAGGCTGAGATCACACAGTCTCCATCTGTAACTTCCCCAAATACACTGTGTAAACCTGACTGAAGGCCACCTTCCTCTCTTGCAAGGCTGCCCCACTGCAGTCACCCGTATCTGTGCTAGCACTCCTGTCCTCTGAGTTAAATGCTGTCCCCAGCCAGGCCAGGACTCACCTGAATGACAACCAAGGTCAGCTGGCACTGCAGCAGGAAGAGGAAACACTTGCGGATCCCATACGTTGCATGCCTGGCCTGGAAGGAAGCACAAGCCCTCAGAGCCCTCGCTGTGATGGGAGCAGTTATCAGCCAAGAGCAATTATTGGCAGGCAGGGGCAGAACATGTGGCCTGCAGGGGAAGTGGGAGGGGAGAGGATCTGGACATATTGTAAGCAAAAGGGCTTGCAAAAGGGCTAGTCTCTTGCCTAGATGCAGAGGTTGGCGAAGAAAGGCAGAATTCAGGCAAGGGTAAGTTTGTTTAATCCCCGTCGCTTTTCTGGGGTAACGCTTCTCCCCAGCACTGCATTGTTGTCTGGCTAGGGATGCCTGCAAGCTTCTACTTTATCCAGTTGAGCAATATTCATGGTCTGGTGCCACAAGGCACCATTCCCAAACTATCCCCTATACCTTGGGCAGGTACGGCCAGGCAGGAAGAGGATCTCTTTTGTGCTTCCTGAACAAAGGACGGGAGACACGAGCAAAGCTCGTGCTGGCAGCTTGTTGTGGGCACCTCAGCAAGAGTGCTCATGAGCTCCTGGCTTTGCTCTTCGTGAGCTGCAGGCAGATGGGCAAGTGCTAGAGAGGGGAAATGCCTGACTTACCTGCTCTATAAGCCTGATGATGCTGGTACTCTCTTCTTGGCGGAAGGACATGGAGCAAGGCAGGCTGTTGAGCTGCCCTGAGAGCTGCAGTGGGGTGAGCTCATCAGAGACATGAGTCATGGTGGTGCTGGTGGCATAGCCAAAAGTCTCCCAGGAGCAGCGAGATGGGTAGAGAGGGTCCAGTGCTATGCTGCAAGGACAGCACAGGGGCATTAGCAAAAGTCCTCATCCCAGAGGAGAAACTATGTCTCACTGCAGTCTTCAGCTTGTAAAGTCATGCTGCGCTGCGCCATGCCCCCTCTATCTACCTCGCTGGTAGAGAAGTCCTGAGCTGGGACATGAATTTAGGATTAATCTCCCCAGACTTTCAGTTATTCCCAGAAAAATAAGCCACAAACCCAAATACATTCATTAAAGTCAACAAATCAGCTGATCCACAGGGGCATTTCCACTCTTTCACCCAAAGAGAAGCACCTGTAATGCCAGTTGGTGCACAATAGTTCATCATGGAAGAGCAACATCTCCCTTTCGAAGATGGAGAGAAAGATCTCTGTGTCAAGGTAGCCAGCCCATCCAATACCACCCAAATCTCCCTTATGGAGACAAACACAGCTAATAACCGACAGAGCAACTGCGAGCTTCCCCCTGCACAACCCCCAGGCCTGGTACGGCCCATGGCTGGGCACTTGCTAAGCTCAAGGCAAAGGCAGCTGGAGGAGTCTGGATCCTGCCCCACCTGATATCGCTTTGCAGGAAGAGGCAGCTGTTCCGCAGGTTGGCAGAGCTTCCCAGACAGCAAGTCACCTCCCCGTACTCCTGCATGATCTTGATCATCTCGCACATGGCTGCGAAGGGACAGGAGGAGAAACACAGCGCGTCATCGCGCGATGCACACGCAGGAGCAGTGTTTCACACACCCTTTCCAGTCTGGATGACGAGCAGTTAGATCTTTTAAAATTACCCCAACTGATAGTCATTGGTCATGTACAGTGAGATCCAAAGTCAAAGTACACAATTAGATACCTAATTAATTGCAGTCCAAGGGCCTTGTACACCTGCCTCCTGCAGGAACTGAGCTGCAGTTCACAGAACTGTGGCCCAGAGATTTGCATCTCTAGCACATCTCTTTCAGACCACAGCTGTAGGTATAGCCTGGGTATATAACCCACATGGCTTCGGCATCAAATAGTCTTGTTAGAAAACGGCAGAAATTAAATAAACCTAAAATAAATACACAATTTTAAATTCTGCTCAGCAGCACATCACTACTGTTCCAAGTCTAAAGGAACAGAGGGAATATAACAAACCACTCCAAAAGCCGTGCCATGCTTAGCCACTCTCAGAGCCAGCCCCTGTTCCTGCACTCCCACCACTACCTCTAGCCTTCATCAATTTTTTTATCAACACCTTCCCAGGGCCTCTAAATCAAAGCTGCTGTTTGATCTGATTTTTCTTCTGTAGCTCTGTGCACAGTGCTCTGAGTGTATGAATTTTCTAGAATGCTCCAGGCAAAAAAAAAAAAAAAAACAAACCAAAACCCACCCTCTGCAAATTCCTGTGTAAACAACTTAGCTAAATGACTGGTGCACACAGATCTGCAGCACAGCGAGGGGTTAGATGAAGAGGGTAACTGCCACTGCTGTCAAAAAAAGAGAGGAAATCTACTGGGCACTGACTGCTTAGGCAGACTGGGCTGCAACTGGGTCTCGCTGGCACACTGTAAACTGTGCCCAGAGGCACCTAAAATGCCAAATCATAATGATGCTTAGCACTTTTACTGGAGACTGGACAGGTTATCAGCCTGCTGAGCACTCAGACCCTTTCTTAGATAAAATAGTATCTCTTGGAGAGATAAAAGGAATTTTGACCATTCTGGTCTCCGCAATCAAATCTCTGCAAAGCAGAGAAGGTGTTAACAGCCACTTGCCAGAGGAAAATTCTTCTGGGAAATGATTTCCGAGTTACATAAGGCAGCGAGGGTTGTGAGCAGAGATCAAAGTCTCCCAGCACACTGATAATGCTTATTTAATAAAAGGCAGTATCATTTTGGATGTTTGCTTTTGTGTCTCTTAGGAATGCAAATTGGAAGGAGTGGTTCTTAGCCCAATTTTGTAGCTAGGGAACAGCTGCATTAAAATGAAGTTAACACCTGGCTTCCCACAGGGAGCAATAGAGCATCACTAATATCAAAATGCCCTTCTAGATTTCTAGACTGTACCCCCTTCCCTTCACCCATGTCCACACCCAGATGAGCCAGGGCAAGTGGATGGGGAAGGTATCCCTGGGCAGTAGTAGGACAGACCCAGGCTCTGTGCCACTTACTCTCTGGGGTGCAGTCTGTGAAGAGTGGCACCAGCAAAGGCACATTGTCTATGTTCTGCAGGTGAGGTCTCACCTGGTGGATCCCCCGTGGGAGTTTGGCCTGAAAAAGAGAAAGAAGAGACTAAGCAGGGGAGCACATGTGTGAGGGAGAGGCATTTCAGAGGGAACTGCTGAAATGAGAACTACGATTCCCAGAATTATTCAACTTCAAGATCAGATACAAACTGATGTCCCTGCAGACAGAAGCTGGCTTTCCCAAGCCCCTGTAAAAAGTCTTCTGCTAAAGTTCTACACTGCCATGCCATGCTGTCTGTGCTTGCCCTCAGGGTTTGTAAGATCAGCATGAGAAACTTGTGCTCAAGGATTTCTAAAGACTTTTTACCTGTGTGGAGAATCTAGTCAGAGACTATGTGCTGTCTCCCAGCAATTAGATCTATTTCAATTGCAGCCACATCAACATATAGCAAGGGAAGGGCTCTCGCTTTCTAAAACCAGGCCTAATAATAACAATAATTTTAAATTTGTATCTATCTCTGATATTCCTGTAACCTCTGCTGAGCCTGTCTGGGTTCTCTGAGGCAGGAAGAGCTTGTCCCGCACTCTGGCTACTGGGCAGTGCCAGCCATGGCTCACAGCTGGAAGACAGACAAGTTTCTTCTGTCTGCATGGAATGTGGGGATGTTCCCACTCCCTGCCCAGCACGTGGGAAGGGAACCCAGATGGACTGAGAGGTGACCCCTGTGTGGTCATCTCCATTCCCGAACTCCAAAGAAAAGACCTGTTCAGCAAAAGTGGTTAACTGAGAGAATCCCAAACTTCCCAGCCTGGGATATCAAGCTGGAAGAGAGCAGGGGAAATGAGGAGTCTCAAGGCAAACCAGTCAACCTGCTTCGAAGAGGAATGCCCTCTGGCAGTACT